ACTTTATCTTTCGATCCTCTTTGCCGATTAAATTCCAAAACTAAATCGTCCGGAATTAATTTTAATAATATTGGAATTAATAAATGTCCATATGAGCCAGAAGTTCGAAGTTACTTCTAAAGTTTCCAAATTACGAATCGAAACTTCTAATTCGTCATATAATTTACGTAAAGCCTTTACGTTAGCAGAATTTTTAACAGCTTCTAAATTGAGAATTTTATTCATGAATGAATTAATGATCAGGTCTTTTCGACCATATCTGTCCTTTAGTAATGCTACACAACTATCATAATTACTTTCTGTTAACTCAAAGCCTGACACAACATTCGAAGCTTGTCCCGTTAAGAATGTTTTTAAGTATACAAATTTTTGTATTTTTGAAAGCGTTTCGTTTTTATGTATCGAATTTTCGAAACTATTCCAAAATTCATCCATTGTTTGGGGTCTCCCCAAAATTTATCAATCATTAATTTTGGTAATTTCAGCGTACTACTCCCACTAGAACTGGAACTTACATGCAAAATTCCATTACCACTAGACTGGTTTAAATCAGAACTTTGGGGATTCCTCGCTGGCGGTACTGCGGTAACCGCACCTAGAAACTGCTTAATTTGACTACAAGCAATTATACATTTGTCATTGTATTCTTCGCTTATACTACAATCTTCTTCAATTAAGTTAACATCAATTAACTCTTGTATTTCATCATCAAGCGTTCTCAAATTATTTTTTTTTCTTTTCGGTTAATAATTCAAACAATTCTCGTAATTCTTTAATCGAATTTTCCTCCCCTTCAATTTTTAATTTATCTTCAATCACTTTAATTAACCTAGTAACAGACGATCTCAATGTGGAACGTTTACGTTTCAATCTATCTAACTTCTCTTCCATTTTATTTAATTTAAATACACCCACGACAGCAATAATAAATACTTACTAATGTACTACAAATAATCACTAAATAATTAATTTAAGATTTCCCTACCTTTATTTGGAATTCCATTGTCCCTTGAATATGAAATATCCATTGAAATCGAAACACTTGGATCGAACACCTAAAATCTTCACAAAGCCTTAATTCCTTACGCCGATGCACCATCTAATAATTTTGTGCATCTCCAAATCAGATGATGGTGGTTCAGTGGGTTCACTAATTTGACCACTTTTACGTTTTTAACAATATTTTAATTACTATATACAGAGCGTATTCTTAGGCCGCCGCCTTCAACATGAACAAACTTTATTCTCTACAACTAAGCGAGCAACAGCGCCCTCTAGCCTTTTTCTTCAAATTACACAACACCTTCAAAGTTCCTTGCCTTTTTTGGAATTTTTAGCCCAAAGGGTGTTAACCCAGAAGAGCTATCAATTTTGCTTTCGCATTTTGCATTGATTCACAGTAAATGTCAGTTCACTTTTTAAATTGTTACCACCAAATATTAGAGCTCTGTATTATATTTAAAGATATTAATTTAGAATCTGCATAAATGCATGTATGTTTCTCACATTGGGATAAAACAACGGCACCTAAAGCCATTAAATTTTGAACAACATGTGTTTCCACTCGAATATGGGCATCTGGAAGCTCGAACATCTCCAGTGTGTGAGACTGTATCAGAAACTCTAAAGATATAGCCATTTTAAAATTATTTTGTGATACTGCTTTTGAATTAAATTTCATGGTTTAAGTGCAAAGAACATGCATGTTCTTTGAGCTTAAATCATGAAACATGATATATCATGATATTTAATAAATGTAACACACGAAACATTGAAAAAAAGCCCCTTTGGGTGTAATGTAAAATCTGAAAGCCTTTTTTTTTTTTAAATTTATAATTTATCACATCTGGTGTTTCTTTGCTTTTTCTGTGACTTCTATTCTGAGTGTAAATTAATGTTTTAGATGAAAGTGTATAATTCAAACCGTGCAGTGTGTAACAGAGCCATCACAAACGTGTGTTGCAAATGACAAAGAACAATCAACCATCCTTAAATCAAAATTTCAAGGTGTCTAATTGGATGTTCATCCAACCTTTTGAACTGGTTTTGTCAATGAGAAAACTGTCTGCATAGGGGGAAAAATTCTCTTCAGTTCAATCTTGACCTGTGCCAAAAAAGTTTGAAGCATGAACCTCATAATTGTTATAATTGTTAAATTCCATGTACTGTTATGAATTAATCCTGAGTTCTTCAAGAAATGTGAATAAAATATACAAATAAAGCATTTGATATTCTGGAAACATTTGCTAGTATTAGAACAATTTAAATATGGGGTGGAATGCGTATTTACATGAAGAATTTTAATTGCCACAGACAGCTCTAAGCCACTAGAAGCAATGCATATGCTCATGGAGGTAGGAAGTAAAAGGAGAACCCCTAACTGGTTTTCCCCATTCACTGCTTTGAAGCATCCATGATCCCTTCATGGAGACCAAAACATTTAGTGACTTAAGATCAATGGGTTTTGACATGATCGGATTTAAACATTTTGTAATTATGTCATAAGTATACATATAAATGCATGTACTTTCTTTTTCTGCAATATTTCAGTCTTAAGTATGTGAAAAGAATGCATTTTTAAACAGCATTTCATTCTGAACAGAAATAAATGCTATACTTTTTTCAGAATAGTTTGCTCAGAACAGTTTAATATGAATGAAATATTTTCACAAGTATTCGTTAATTATATTAGGAAAAAAATTTGATGTAATTAAATTTTATTCGGTTAAGGATTACAAAAATTAAGATCAAAATTTATTGCATTATTATTAATATTAAAATTACACATTATTTCTTTTCTATTTACTGAGCTTCTTCCGAAAATACTTTCTCAAATATGAGATGATTTTTTAGAATCTGAAGCATCTTTTAAATAAAAAATCTGAGTGAATTTATAATTAATACTCTGTTAGTTCATTTCAAATTAGCATGTTTTATTTTAATGGTGAAATATGTTACATATTGGTGCTGATTTCCATGTACTTAACTTTCTATGAATATTTCTGAAAGGGAATTAAAAAAAAAAGTTTGTTTAAAGGCTTAGTGAGCAGTGTGGTGCACATAATGATCTTTTATTATGTCTTTTAAATCGTATTTCTTATAATAAATCAGCATATGGGTGCAATCTATTTCTATGACATAGCATTAATTATTAATACAACCTCACATGATCAGGAGCGAAAGTGTTAAGTTATAACTCTTGTAATGGGAAGTGGTGGCATTACTGAACAAGTTATTACTCCTGCAATGTTGAAGCATGTTGTCTTACAGCTCCTCATAGCAGCTTGAAGACAGTGACTTCTGGAGGACCATATGCATGAATTTCTTATCTTAATGTGATCCATCACAAATCACTTAAACCACTGGCTTAGCATTATACTGTAAGCTTGTTTCATTGTTATGTAATTCTGTGTAAACTGTCTATATTATCAGTTTTTAAATTTATAGATGATTATATGTGTTGTAAAAAGATGCAACAAATGAAACGTTTATTGATCAATTACCTGCTGTCGCCGTTTACGGCACAAGCTAACACAAATGTAAATGACGTTCTTTCATGCCCTGTCGTAAGCACAGATACAGTTTTTGCACCAGTTTCATCAACAGTTCTGTTTGCAGGAGAGTCGAAAGCTAACGCCGTTTCATCCATATTTATTATCTGTGACCGAAGATTTTTTTTTTGTGTGTGTCAATAATATCTGTCACATATTTTAGAAAAGATGCCTTTTTATCCTGCCAGTCCATTGGTAATTGTTGTCCAATTTTTGTTCTAGTATGCACATAAATATTTTTTCTTTTTATAAATCTGCTAAACCTCCTTTGAAATCATTTATGTTCATTCGTTTCGCTATAAATTTTGCTTATAAGCGAATTTTTACAGTAGAAATTGCCATTTCCTTTCCTCATTACTCCTTTATCCAGTTTGCAAGGTCGTCATCTAGATTCGGCCACCTTACAGTACCACTTCTTTTGGCTCGTGTTGTGGCATATTTTTAAGAAGTTCTTTTTCAGTTCTCCAATGTCGAATACATCTCTTGTCCACTTCAAACTCTCGAGCTGCTGCTCGATTTCCAATTTGTTCAGCATGTGAAATCACATTAAGCTTAAAACCAGCAGTATAGCTTCTGTGCCGTTTAGGTGACATTTTCAAAAATTTTCCTCTCCCTTCTTACTTAAAAAACTATCCAACAAGTACTTGTACCCAAACTGATGGGATCTGTATCTGGCAGAATGCCAAGAAAAATCGATTCATGCTGAAGGGTAAATACATCAGAGTTCGTTATTGGGAGGCAGGTGGAGTCGTGTCTGCCTTTGAAAAAAATTGCAGAAAAGGCAGGGGTGGGGAGAGGAAGGGTCCTGGAAGATTCATGGAATGGCAGAGGAGAGAGACTATTCAAGCTAATGAGAATGTTGATTTGAAAGGGAGAAGAATGTTATTGTTCTGAGATCTCGTTTAGGGTGAATAAGGCATGTAGGTCCGTTCAAGGGAAAGAATGTAAACAAAATAACGTTCACAAAAAGCAACTGAGTGGAACAGCACCAGTCTATGCACAATGACAAGGCCATCCAAACTATGTAAAATGACCATCATAGGAAATATTTTATTTTTAGTGCACCTAAATGCTGCATGGGTAGAAATGTCGCACCCGCTAAAAATTTAAGTTTTAAGCACGTAAACGCCGCTGCGTTTCTTCTGGAAATTATGGTATTAGCCATTAAAAGTGTATACAAATCTGTTAGCCCACATCTAAATAAACAATTAAGCATCACAGGAAAGCCAAAAGGAAACCTTGAACCTGGAAATCCCGTGATGCACAGCGAGAGGGTTAAGAACCTTTTGGGTAATATTGTACGTATAAAAAGTTAGTTTGGCAGCAACTAAACAATCATTTTTAGCATGAAAGTAAAACTAACAGTTTGAAATGTTAAATACTGCTATTCTGAACTTTGTGTTCGTTATGAAAATATCCATTTTTAAAAGCATATTATTTGTTTTGCAGCATATTTTATATACATAGATATTTTAAGATGCCAAGATTTTGGTTAGTAAAGAATGTAATCCCTCATTCCGCAGTTACAACAGTTTTGTGTTTGACCTTTGTTTTAACATCTATTTCTGAGGTAAGTTTTTTTTTTTTTTTTTTTTTTTTTTTGTGTGTGTGTGTGTGTGTGTGTGTATAAAGTTTCATTTAGTGTTTCCTAAAAGATATTCAATTTGTAGTTAGTCAATAAATATTTATATTTGTGGGGGGAGGGGTATATTGTAATTGGGAAAAGTATGTTCATTATTTGAGCTGCATTATAAAACAGTTCTACAAAAGATAAATAATTTTAAAAAAGTAGTTTCGTATTGAAAATTGAGGTAGAACTCTAAATAATGCAAAGCAATTGATATTTCATTAATTGTAGAAAGTTTTGAAACTATTCTTCTCTTAGCAATTTAAAAATGATCGTATGGGTATGAGAGGGCTCTTCTTTAATTTTCTGGGGCCCATCATTGGCCGAGTGTTAAAGTCTTTGAACACTGGTAGCTCAGTCTGAGGTTCAAATTCAAGCAAATGGGCTGGTTGCATGGCCATTTTTTATGGTTTTCCCCATGGTATGTATACGAGCCATTTCCCTTAGGAAGTCCACCACAAGGGCATCTCTATACTTAGGCAGATAGCTCTTGAGTGCTTTGCCATAGTTAAATAAACCAAACCTTAAAATTTTCTGGATGACATCTTTTTAAAAACTACATATATGACTATTCTATGCTGCTACGTTCAAGCTACTATCAAACACTTAACTCGGTGTAAGTACTGTTGTTTGAAGTAGTGTTGGAACACTTTTTGTGTTCCAACATGTGGTGGAACATCCTCAGTTTATTTGTTTCTGGTAACTTTCAATGTGGAAAACAAGAAAAATAACATAAGGAACATGGTCATATACAAGCTAGGGAACCATTGGAATGATTTTATTGTTTAAAAAGCTCCAATGTTGGTGCTGACTCGTGCCGTGGAGCATTGTCATGTTTAAACTTCAGTGCCAAGATATCCATTTTCGAGGAATAGAACCAATATAAAATTGTCCTTCTTCAGTCAGGCTTTAAATTAACCCTTTGTGTTGCATACAGCTAATCTAGAGAAGTTAAACAAAAATGTTTGTATTTTTCTACGTAGTAATAATAAAAAAAAATTAATTTTATTCAAATTTCGTTTTAAATACTTGCTACAGTTTGTTCACTACAGTGGACAGCATGTATATACGTACATGCATACTCCCAAATCTCTTCCCAGCGATTTGTACGGTCATTGCAATTTGAAATCATTTCCTGCCTTGTTTGCAGTGATCATTACCATCTTCTAAATGGATAAATCTACAACTGACATGTATGACATGTACATACAGATGTCCCAAAATACCTTCATTTCGTTGATTGTGATTGAATTCATTTTGCTACGATTTTGTAACCCGTACCTGTTGGATTCAAAATGTCAAAGTGTTCTAGAAATTCCTTGTCAAACATAAACATTTCCAGTTCCAGTGGTGTTTTGGCTTGATAAGCAGTACATTTGAGTTTCAAATCACTCTTTTCGGTAGATCTTTATCTACCCACTCCACAATTTTCTCAAACTGACATTTTAAAATAAAATGTCTAAAATTACTAATTATAAATAAAAAAATGGCAGTATAAGAAAATGTAAGCAATATTATATCATGTTTACTATGAAAAATTGTACTAACTTGGAAACAGAAGTAGCAGCCATTTTCCAAATAGCAATGCTTTACAACCATCTATAATCGACATTTGAAAGTTCTAATAATATAGAATGAATAAACACAAGAATGGAATCTGTTAAGGCATTTACAGAAGAATAAACAAACTTAAACTTTTGTCTACTAGAGTGGACATGATACAACAAAGGGTTAAGAATTAACTTCAGTAATTTTTTTCTTTCTGTATGCAATGAAAAGGCAGGCAGGATGAGAATGATACTTAGCTTAAAAAACAAATGAACACAAATTCACTGTGTTGTTAGATTTGCCATTTCAAACTATAACAAAATGTCTTTGTATATCACCACACTGTTATGTCTCATATATCCTTGATTTACATTGCCATTGTGAAATTTTAGTGACATCATCCTAAGATGTTGCCTTATCTAATGGCAGCATTAGTGTCCAGAAAAACCTTTCTTCAAGTAAAGAAGTTCTGTTCATGAATTTAATTATTTGTTGCCCTCTTTTGTTTCCTAAGATATTGATTTTCTTTAAACAATACCTGATTCATTATGATTAGAGATGTCATTATTTTGAAATATATACTTAAAAAATTAATAGCATCGAACAAGTTGTTGAATTGCTTATTATAAAGTAGGTATATATTTTTTAAATTCCAAGTTTTTAAGGAAACATATCCACAGTTGGCAGTAAAGGACTCTACTCAAAAATTTTCATAATATGTATTCTATTATCATTTTATCTGTTCATTTGAATATATAGTTTGAATTTTCCAAGCATTACTGCTGTTGATTTTAGTCCATTGATATTAAAAACTGTGCATAAATTTAATGCTTAAAGTTGGAAATGTCAACCTTGTTGCTAGTATTTCACAGATATTATTGCACTCTAAAATTTGAGCAACAATATTAAAAACTTTTGTCTGTTAATGTAAATTTTATGAGTGTGGCTAATCTTATGTCATAAAATATGTAATTCTTAAATTTCTGGACTAGGAATTTCCTTGAGTACTGATAAATGATCTTGGCAATTGAAAATTGTTGAATTATGCAATCGTAAAAAGTGCAACCATCTCATTGTTTATGCATGAAAATGTTTATAATTTTATAAGATTTTTTCCTATTTTGTATGTTTATTGAATTATGTATTTGATTATGTAAAAGCATACAAGGTTTATCTACTTATTATATATCGTGGCAAACACAAAAACTACCTTTTTTTATAGGCTAAAGCTACATTGCATTTTTTATGTTTGTTGGTCACTTGACATATATTGCTATCTTTTTTCATTATTTGAATATACACTTCATACATTAACACCAGAAATTCATATCTTGATCTCTATATCATTAGTGTCAGTTCTGTGATTGAAATTGTATTAAAAATGATGAAATTGTATTTACATAGTGAATGTTAATTACGAGTTTAAAATTTTATACACATTCTGTGGTCCCATTATTATTATCTCAGTTATTATTAAGTATCATACATAGCATAACTTTCAAAATGAATACCTATGATTAAATCCATGTGCTTAAATTACATAGTAGTAGTGAAGCTTTTTCAAATTATTTGCCATCTTTGTGTGTTGGATTTTAATGTTCTCTTTCACCCTTTCTATCTCCAGGGTGTTTAGCTTATGTATACTGTTTCAGATCTTGGATGAGGACACTCTGTGTAGCAATGTTCTTTGCATTGTTCCCGTCTTTCTTGAATAATTTATACTCTATTATTAGAAAACATAAATGTAAATTTGATTATCAGATTAAAACTTCTTCCTGAACTGATACACAGATACAATGTTAGAAGAATTCTTTTTTACATAATGAAACTTAACCCCAATCAAGTATGTGTGAAAAGATATAAAACTAATGAAATAGAAACATTTCAGCCATTCTCCTATCTGTCTTTTTTGGAAATTATCCTAGTTAATATGCCTAAAAACCAGTTTTAATTTTTAAAAGGATTGAAGTAGTTTTTGTAAATGTTTTCTGAATATTTGAACTATTAATTCATTTAAAATATTTCTGAAGTTTTCAACTTACTTTTTTCTTTTCAAGCTGAGTATTATTTTTTCTCCTTAGTAAACATTTCATGATTGTTGTAACTTCTGTGATTCTTTTTCAACTGCACTAGAGGATTATGCACTCAAATTCTGTAGTATTTTTTTTTAAGATTTAATGAATGCATATCATACAGCTTTGAAATGTTTTTTTGTACACTTCAGTAAAATTGATGTACATTATGCTTTTTATAAGCTACTCTTTGATGATCATTGGCTTGAATTTTCTACTTATATAGATGGATCTGCCACAGATGATTTTGTTTGATCTGCCTTTGTATATAGAAATACTGTTGAAGGCTATTGCCTACATCAGACATTTGCCATTTTTACTACTAAAGCCATTGGAGTTCATCAGATACTGTCTTTTATTTCAAAACAACTTGGTTGTAATTTGCAAATTGCAAAGGAAAGTCAATTAGCAAGTCACAAAAAGCAGTTGCAAAATAGCCTAATGAAATGCTTGCATGAAAATTATTTATTTCTCAGCAAAAATTTCATAATTATTTATACAGTTGTCCATCATTTTATCAGTGCTTCTATGCCATCTGCATAAAATACTTTGGCTTGCTTTCTCAGTTGCATTAGAACTTTGTCTTGAACATCATCATGATGTGCAAAGCATTTGCCTCCAAGTTTCTTTTTTATTGGACCAAACAGTTACTGCTACTGTTATAGTGTGCAGTACATTCTTCACTTCATTTCCTCCACCCTTTTCATTGTTGAGTCTGTCACAGTCTAAACAGAATGCTTACTTCAGTTTTCATCACAAACTTCAGAGTACCTTGAGAAAATTTCTTGCTCTACATTTGCTGTGCATATGTAGGGCATATGCATATGCAAACATTCCTTTATAAATACCTTTCACGCAAAGTTCTTTTGTCTCTCCCTTCTGAAAAAAAAAATAGGAATAGCAGCATACTGCCCCTTTGTTGCCCAGTTCCTTTGCATTTTCAAACTGAATGCTTGTACAATTGATACTTAGTAATTGATAGGGGGGGAATCATTAACTAGGACAGTTCTGTTACTCACTGTTATTTTCAAATATATTATGCCAGTTTGTGATATACTTAATAATCTCTTGTATCCTTACTTGTCCAGAATTTTGCACTGTTTACAAGACAATAATAAATATAAGAATTCCTTTATCAATGAAATGCATAAGCTTTATTTGTATTTTTAGGATCAGGATACAGTGTTTTTTTGCTTTGTGCATGCTGTCATTTGTAACTATGGAAACAAACCTGTTAACAAAAGAGGTCACTAACACATAAAAGAAAGTATCCCAAATATTAATACATTGATTGTCACATGCATTTTACATGGTTTTACATAGCCCCCTACATCAATTTTTTATTATGCAATGTATATTATGTTGAAATATTATCTACGGAAGATAAGGTGAGTTGTATAATTATGTTTAATCCATATTGTGTGGTGGGAGTCACTGGTGACCTCTGAGGCATTGTAGACCATTTTTGCAATTTATTATTTATATTTTTGTGATTTATTATTCTCCAAACCATTATAGCAACAGTATTATTTAAAAATTTAACAGTATCGATATTTACTCTTAATATGTATTTTTACTGTTGGTCATGTTGGCAATCACCAGTGGCTCCCAGGGTACTGTAGCCAAATCGAGTGCCGGCTGCCAGTGAATTCCATGGCAGTCAACATGTTAAGAGCACCTTCACACATTAATTCCTTAGAAAATGGCAACACCTCTGAAACATGCAAGTCAGTAATAAATTAAAGGATATAAACCTAACGTTGAATACTGAAAATTGATCAATAATTGTAAGGATGAAAATGCTCTTGATTAGATACAGATCAGGCAGTCTAGACTTACATCACTTTTACTGAAAGATAGTGATTTCTTTGGTGCATAATCTGAGAGGTTATGGTGCACCAAATTTACTGAATGTGCTCTGGTATATAGCAGTTGTAACTCTTAGCTGTTTATTTTATACATTTTAGTGAAATGTTCTCTTTTTAATACTCTTGAGAACTCTCTTCTAATAATTACTTATTGTTAACTGTTTTAATAGGGAAAAATCATCATAAGCATTTTGAATTTTTAATAGATATCAGAATATATTATTTATTTTATTGACTTCCCCTTATTAGATATGTTATTGCATATGATGTCATATATAAATTAATAATTTTTTCTGTAGACACATCAGCTTTTATAGTTACATAACGCTGAGTGTGTAGTGAGTTTTCTTAAAAAGAGGTTCAATACATATAGTATTTGCTAGCTCTCCCACAGAGTGAATTTTTCCTGTAGAGAAAGGAGAATATATAGGAGAGAATTTCATAGTTTTCAAGCCTTTTATTTAGATACTGAGTATTTAGTTTTAGCGTATGCATATAAAAAACTACTTTTGTTCTCAAGTTTTGGTATTTATCAACATTTTGTATGCTTTTTATTGTTTAATTTATGAAACACATTAAAAAATAATCTTAAATATATGTATACATACTTTTGAGTTTTAGAATGAAGGGGAGAATGATCTACTAACAGTGGTGAAAGGGATGCATGGGATAACAGTGGTCATGTTCTAACAATTTTTTCTATATTTGTTTTTATATTGGCTAAAGTGTCACTCTAGTTGAATCTTTTTGTACAACCTGTTGATTTTCGTTCTTGACTTTTGCTTCAAAATCTAGTCAATATTTACTGTTTCTCTCATTTTGCTGAATGTATTAGTATTCTGTTTTACATAGATCATTTTTAGAACAGAATTTCTGAATGTTTATCAGGTAAAAATAGAAAACAGGATTTTGTTACCGTTATGGAGAAGGAATTGTTGTGTTTTTCATTAGTTTGCTGTTGTTGTAACTTATCTCACTTGTCTGACAGTAACATTGGAAGAAGCCGACGAAATTTATCGGTTCAAGGAGTGCAAGATTACACCTGTCATTGGCAAGAGCCTTGAGCACCATGCAGGTGACAGTACGACTTTGCTCAGTTCTGCACCCAGTTTTGATGGAGAGCACCCTGGGCAGGTCTCCAACCCCACTTCCTCTGCCACCAATATTTCGAGAGCACTTTCAATATGTCACATATTTAGAGATCCCCCATGCTGTACAGACATTATACATTTACAAACATCAATGCCTTCTCTGGGTTTTGAACCCAGGCCCTTTGGTATGGCCATAACTACTATCCCAATTGGGGAGCTTGTTATTAGTTAAATGATAGATGATTTCTAGTTTGTCTTCAGTTTTTTTCATAAATACTGCTAAGAAATGGATTATGCTATTTGTTTCTCTATAGACTAAACATAGGCTAGGAAACATGAAAAGAAATTGGTAGAAAAAATATAACAAAGATAGATACTTCTGGAGTGTACAGCATTTCCATTTATGATATTTATTCTAATCATCATTATAGTGTACAGAAATTGTGATTTAATTATTGTAGTAACATAATAAAAACTGACATCTACTAACAACTATTACAACCTGCTGACAACCTGGCAGTAATTCTGTTTTTTTTTTTTTTTTTTTTTTCAAAATGCTCACAAGCAGCTAGTTTTTATTTTTAGATAGAAAGAGCATATAAATTTTTATTTATATCTGATCTATAAGGTCTACCAGAAACTTCTGTCCGATTATGTTATTAAGTTTCATTTCACAAAAAAAGTGTCTCGTATCATTATTAAGTGGCATACAATCATGTAAGCGTGGCTATCGATGAAGTTAATTTATGATACTTTTATTTTGTTTGAATTCCAAGAAAGAAGAAATGCATATCAAAAATTTAGTTTTTGGTGGAGATGGTCAAAAAATTTTGACTGTAATGATAAGCCATGCTCAGGCAGCCATCTTTGATCAATGATGATATTGTCAAGACTATGATAGAACAAGATCCTTTTTTTGACAACATTGGAGATTATGATACAGCTTAACTCAGCACAACAAACTATTTGGAAACTAGAATTGGTCTATAAATATTGATCAGTTCATCATATGCACATCTCTGCTTGCTCAGAACAAAAACAAGCCTCTCTTGGACTGGATGATAACTGGTGATGAAAAGTGGATTACCTTCAAAAGCATCGTTAGGAAAAGAGTATATTGTGAGTCGGACAACTGCCCACTCCACCTCTAAACCGAGCTTGAGGCTCAATAAGAAAATGCTGCGTATGTGGGGGGTTGTCCAAAGACCAATACATTATAAACTTCTGAAACCTAATGAAAAGCTCATTTCAGAGAGATATTGTCAGCAAATGGATGATTTAAGCAAAGCAGTCAAAGGAAAGAGACTGGTGATGTTCATTAGGAAGCATATCATACTGCCTCATGATAATGCCAGACTGCATGCTGCTTTGGTGACTCATCAGAAAATCACAGAGCTAGGTTGGGAAATTCTGCCACATCCACAATACCCCTTAGTTCAAGTGCTCTCCAATAATCACTTGTTCCTATTCTTGCAAAATTTTTTGAAGTGGGAAAAATTCAAAACTGAAGCAAATTTCAGCTAACTATTACTTGAGTTCTTTGCCTCTAAAGACGAGAAATTTTTCAAAAATGGTATTTACCATCACGTTGGCAAGAGATCATAAGTAACGACAGAAATTATATTGTATGATAATTATAATTTAAGGTATGAAAAAGGTATTTTCTGTCTCTTCCCAAATGGACAGAATTTTCCAATAGGTATTATATACAAAATAAAATACCAATACATCCAGAAAATTATTAGAAATGCTGATACCCACAAGATTTTGTCAAATTCTCTATAAGGAGATCAGTATAGGAAAATATTTAGCCAAAGGGATGTTACAACCCATACAAAAGTCAGATTGCAAAAAACTTATTGGAAAAGGACTTTATGATCTAAATATTATATATATTTCAGTTAACATTATATCTAATCCTTCTGCTAAATTTGTAATAGACCTAAGTAAGTACAAATTTAATATAAAGATTAAATTGAGATTAATTAATTAATTAATATGTAATTTTCAGTATTGAGTGATATATTATTTGCTGTCATTATACAGATTTGTGCAAATTCCATATAGATTTCCATGATGTATGTGAAACTTGAAAAGCTGAGCAAGTAAAGGAATCAGCTTTAATCTTCTGAGACTTCTAAATAGAAGAATCTGTTATTATTAAGTACAGTTATTTTGTAAAAATCTCAATCCTTATGTTCCTTTTATTCTTCCCTACTATTAGTAACAATATCTGAGCTAAACTTTCTGTAAACTACCTCTCACATGCCTGCATGTTGGCAGTAAATAAGAAACCAGGCATTCAGCGTTAAGTATCATATTGTTAAATTAATCATGTTCACATTTCTGTTCTACACTTTTTATTTAGTCACTAATTTATATACTCTTGCATTGAGAACGGACAGGTTTGAATATCAAGGTATTGGCAGGAAAGAAAGCATGAAATAATAACTAGAAAAAAGTAAATGTTACAATTGTTATATTGTGTACCTGACAGCTGCTGTATAATATGTTATGCAATATACCTGTTGTATCTTATTACTTAAGTTGTATTCTTTTATATGAAAGCTAATTTTTTTTTCCACTCTTGGTAAAGTATTTTATATATTTGATACTATTTTTTGAAACTTGCAACATTGTAATTTTTAAATTAACATTTAAAAAAATGGCTGTTGTTTGATAGCTTAACACTCTCTTTTTATATTTTAGGTTTTTCTCTGTTGCAATTATGGTATTCAGTTTTGGATATGGCACTTATTATTGGGAATTGGTTGTTTTACTCTGTTCATCTGGGCTGTGTGGTGCAATGAATATATGTTGGTCCGCTTTCTTTCTGAACAATGGCGGAAAAAAGATTTTAAAATAAATAAAGTACTGTAAGCCTTTTTCTATCATGTATGTTAAAAGTTTTCAATAAATGTATTTTTACAATTCATGTTGGCTGGCAGTCTTTGATTTGTAGTTTTAGCTACTTAACCTCAAGTTAAGACTTCACACCAAGGTAATATTTATGTTCTAGTCTCAGTAGGTTAACAAATAACCAAATTGTGGGATTTATAAGCCATAAGATTTGTCCTTTAATATATGATTATTGGTATTTCATATTTTGAGAAGTCGGGAATTAATGTAAAAATATTTATTTTTGAAATACAAATCTCATTGTATGCATATGCAATTTTGAATCGTTTATAAATTGTTAAAAGTAAATCGGTTATCATTTGTAGGTAAGCAGTTACAGCAGGTAAACTTTTGAAAGATTAAAGTTCTATTGTGCTTAAAGTAAATTTAGTTTCTTAATTAGTTCATCATTTAACATTTAGCAGCTGCTTTGTGAGGCATGAAACTTCAGAATTTTAGTTAGCAGAATTTACTGGATTCAAAAGTACATAGTATGGACTCATTTAAAAATAAATTTAATCCCCTGAGTGGAATGACTGCCCTTCTTTATCCAGCCATGAGATCTGTTACTTGGCATTTGTCAGCTTATAATTTAAATTAATTTAATTTAAATTAATTAATGTTGTAAATATCTTGATGAATGAAAGTTTATGCAAACAGAGCTTAAAATAAGTAATGCAAATTTAGCTAGTAGAGGTTGTTTAAAACACAATTCTTCATGAGAACATTCAAAACAATGTGCTTCTCAGAGGTTTAATGTGATAGTATTTAGTAAATTGTTACTTTTGACCAAAAGGATTATAATTTTAACTATAACAAAATAGCTACTTCTCAATGGAAAGATGCCTCCCCTCAGTTTAAACTCTAGATTTGCTGGTTTTTTTTCCTCCTGCCTTTCAAAAATAGCAAAATACTGAAACTGAAATTTGTTGTGCTAAACATAAATTTGAATCATATCTGAAAACTAATAATATTATTAGCTAAAGAATTCAATTTTTAAGTCACATTTTAATTGTTTTTTAAAGTAAGTAAGTAACCTTTTTATTCAGTTTTTAGTGTATGGTTTAATTTAATTGTAATATATCTACATGCAGTTATTATTCTTTATTCTTGTGTTGAAATTAACGTTTCAATTTTGCCATCAACGAATGAAAATAAAAAAAGAAATGATAGCTACATAATTTTTGAATATATAGAAAGACAAGATCAAAAATTTGCAACCACCCAAACATATGGTCTGTCAGATGGCATTAATGGTTTTAGTTGACATTTAGACATAATTAGTGACAAGGTTCTGTGTTCAGTGTTAAAATAAGTTACCATATTCCATTGATAAATCAGTTTGATAACTATTACCAAATAAGAACTTTGTCAAACATTATTAAACTTGTACCTGAAGCTGAGAATTAGTCCTTTGCTGTTTCAATTGTGGAAGTCTGCAGTGTTTGGAATTTGGGTATTCTCCCATTCAGAGGGCAGTAGCCAAAATGAAATACTTGTAGCAACTTTACACAACAAATTGTCAGAAGCATGTTTTAATCCAGACAAATTCTTCACGTGATATTTTGATGAAGGGTCCGAAATTCATTATTTGGTAATTGCCAATAAAGAGTATGCCATTAAATTGTTTTAGGTAATGGTATTATCCATAGTGAAAGCTTTCTTCAAATAATGATGGTTATATTTTCGAGCAACAGTGCATCCTGAATGTACTGTCGGGGGGTATCTTTACGATAGTCAATTTCCAATTAACTGGGCCTTGTCAAAAAAAAAAAAAAAAAAAAGCTTAAATTTGTTTATTGCAGAACGATTGAAAATTGCTGTCACAAACTATCAAAATAAAGCATAATTTCTGTGGAAAATACAAAAAGGAGACAAAAATATGTGAAATAACAGCAGTAATAGGAAAGAGTATCAGAATATTTGGAATTGGTTTTCGTTCTCACCCATACTTAATTTGACATCAGCTAGAGTATATAAATAATATTAAATCATTCGTTAAAAATAAATTGTTAAATCACAAAAATTAATTAAGCATACCACTATTTATATGGTTTCCACCTATTTAAATTGTAAGAGTAATATAAAAAAAATTTGCTTCTATTTTAAAATTTACTCTCCTTTTGAATGCTGATTTAATGTACATAACCACGCAGACTTACTGTCCAGATCAGGATTTCTTAAAGTGTGTGGGTTGCGATTCCCTTGGGGGTCGCCAAAAATGTTAGCATTTTCAATATTTCTTTATTTTATTATAATAATTTTACAATTACCAAATATTTTTACACAGTGTATATGAAAATAGATAAAGATAAGACAATACAAATAAAGAAACTAACGAAAACATTTCAACACATTCTTTTTATAATATAAACGTTAATTTTCCATGCTTTTCACGTAACACTGTCATTTCACCTGTTCCTTATTTAAAATTTTCACATTGTTCTATGTCTTAAAATTAGAAATAAATTAAAGTTAATGACCTAAAACTGCAATAGTGTATTACAGTACACGTGAAAAAATTAGCAGTTTCACTCAAGGGTGTGTCGGATTTATGCAATACTTATGGGGGTCCCACAAAATTTTTGTAAATATTATGGGTCCAGGGAGGTCTTTAAAAAAAATCTCAAGTTTAAGAAACCGTGGTTCAGATTAAACTGCTTGAAAATGCAGTGAATTGTTTTAATATTTTTTCCTAGTTTTAACATCAGTTATTCCTCTTCCTAGTATCTTTTATTAACTGTAATTATAGATTAACCATGGACATTATCCTCGGTATAACCTGAGTTAATCAGAAATATACTGTGCTTCGGGCTACCTCCAATATTTTGTGTTTGATGATGACAGTGGCCCCCAGAGAAATATCAGTATTTTTATTTTATGACGAACTATAAATATTATTTTATCACTAATATCAGTATAGGTAGTTTTAAATAAACTCGTGATTTGCTTGCGAGTTTTAGTGAAAAAATGAATTTAGAGCAATAAAACTTATGAATAACCATGAAATAATGGCAATAATTCATGGGGGAGGTGTTAAACTAGAACATCAAGTTTTGAAATAAGCTACTGTAAACATACATTTGAAAAAATACAAAGAACAATATTTTACATCCTTTTTATTCATCTATATAAAATTAAAATATGTCTAGTATATATTTTTGCGTCATATCAAAAAAAATTGCTTTTTTTTTAATTAATTCTTTATTCTTCCTTTTTGTTAATAAAGTGATTTTATTTTTATAACCAGAAACCTGCATAACCTCATGGCAAGCTATGTGGATTTTTGACGTATACTTCTTCCTTAAGTTACAGAATATTCCACTTTTTGAAAGCCATATGCTACTTAAGAACAATTCCTTTGATATGATAGTAAAATATATATAATTCTAAAAAATAACTACTGCAGCTCAGTTTTTCTGATCAGGTGCTTGTGTGTTGCTGAGGAGTAAGTGAGCCAGATTTTAAAAAATTTTTTAGATCTGGAAGTATCATAATTTTTTCTGAGAAATTTATGATTCAATATCATTAATGAGTTTTTTTTTTTTTTTTTCCCTTATATGTATGTGTGTGTTAATTTTTTTTTTCTGTACTGTTACCAAATGATAAAAATAAGATAGCACTGAAACATCCTAAATAAAGGATTATTTGTAATGTGCAATTTTTCAATAATAGTTTCTTACAAGATTACCTACCGTATTTATGCGAATCTAATGCACATCGTTTTTGGCCAAATGAAGTATTCAAAATTGGGGTGCGCATTAGATTTGAGTGCAAAGTTCGCCGATGACGTCAAACAAATTTAAATCGTAACAATGAATTACTGTATTTTTCGACTACATTTACCGTTACATTTATCATTGACATGTTATTGCATAGAGGATACAAAAATAAAAGATACAAGAAATGCTGCATTTCAAATTCATTGAATCGCAGTGAAGATGACGTGCTCTGTAACGCCAAGGATGACGATGATGATGATGAGGAAAGAAGAAAAGAATCTGCTTCTGACGAAGAGAGCTGCAAGGATTCCAGTTATGAAAACATTAGTGAATAAAGATGTTTACTATTAATCACTGATTGTAGAAACTGTTAGCTAGATAGAAATGTTACGATTTATTTCATGTTCATATTTTACGATAGGTACCATATATACGGTAGTGGTAATTAACAATGATTGTTTCACATAACAATAGCCCACTAATAGGTTAATTCTATGTTCTGCTACTTTATGTATAAATCCATTGTTGTATAAAAAATGGTATCTAAATTTAAATAAAAAAATTATCATACCATTGATTGAGTTTATATACAAATCCGTTGTTGTATAAAATAAGATTAAATAAATTCCTCATACCATTGATGCGCATTACATTCGCCAACAAACAATTTTTTTATTATTTAAAGTTTTTAAAATGGGGATGCGCATTAGATTCGCATAAATACGGTATTTTAAAACTGAGTAAAATGAAGAGATATTATAATGTCTCTAACAGATGAAAGCTAGTATGATAAATTTTATTTCCAATTAAATATTTAATTTTGTAAAAGCATCTAAGGAAGTATTCTGACTGAATTCTTTTACATTTGGGACAAAGTTTAGGATTGTTATGCTAAACTGCTGAAGCTGTATGAGGCTTGTCATATTTTAAAAGGCTTCAGACGTATGGAAACGTATCTGAAGTGCATATAAATCCTGAGAATAGTGTAACTCAGTGCTTAAATTGTGCCAGAGCTCGGCTCCGGTACTTCTAAATTTTTAAGATAAATTACAATTTTAGCCAGGCTGCACTGGATCCCTAAATTAGATGAGCTCCGGTACTTCTTTTTATAAAACTGAACCACAATTTAAAGGGGAAAAAATAGAATTCCTAATGTTATAGTTTAACAATAAGCAGACTTTGCAATATTCTAATTCCCTAGAAATACGAACTCGTGAGAACATGAGACATTGAAGTAAAGTTCCTTCACTCACATGTGGAAACCTTTCCCTTTAAAAAGGGCAATAAATTTGGGGGAGTTTGTTTAGGAACGCGTAAATTTCTCGCCATGCCATCGTATCTAGTGTATAGTTATCAATGCTTACAGTTAGTTATCCTCGCAGGAAGGAAAATTAGTGTTCTTAAATGAGCATTAACCCCTTAACTGCCGCGGGCGTATATATACGCCTTGCTCAGCCGATGCGTTAACTGCCCCCCAGATGCGCAGCCGATGCGTTTAACTTTTCGAATAATTTTAGGTGTAGCAGCGCAAAGCAAATGATAGCAGTTTGGAAGGACGTATATATATGCCTGGGGGCAGTTAACGCATCGGCTGAGCAAGGCGTATATATACGCCCGCGGCAGTTATTAGGGGTTAAATGACAGAGAGTGTGATAAGATTGAAATACTGAGATAAAATGCTCAAGCACATCCTATACATCGTCTTCCTACAGTATCCACTAATGGGGGAAGCGTAACCAGCAACTTTACATTCATCCTTAAGAATCAGATTCAGGACTCATTTTATCCCTGACACACATTTCCTTGATATCTATAGTTATATCAGCAGAGAGCTATAATTATATCAGTGGTCAAAGAAAACAGTATCTCTCACCAAGATTGCCCTCATTTTTTGTTTCCTCCCACTCATACCCTCAATTTGTTTCTCCTAGAATTTTGATCAGCTATACTTTAAGTATATTTAATTTTTGTGATGTTCAAAGAACTTCCCTCCCTATGATCAGAGCTTAAATCGGAGCCCACCGGACATCGGCTCCAGTGCTTCTTAGTTTTTGTAATAAATCATAATTCTAGCCAGAACGTACCGGAGCCCTGAATAAGAAGGCTTTGATGTAATTGAATCACAATTTCAGTAGAAATTTTATTTTACCAATAAAATTATATTAAAAACCACTTATTACATTTCAATTTATCTCCTTACATTTTATTTAATTTTAATTATTTAATTACTTCAATCTTTAATTATTTCAATAAATGAATTAACTATCTAATAATTATAATTAATTAATTAATAATAATTATCAATTAAATTATAATTAATTATATAATAATTATTGATTAAATAATAATTTCTAAACATTAATTAAATAGCTATTAATTTGATAATAATTAACTATTTAATTTTAAAATTATTAATGAGTTTTTAATAGTCATTTTATTTATTTTTTATTCTTGTTCCTCTTTGCTGACGGGCTTCCATAGGGCTCCGGCACTCCTAATCTTAGAAATTAAGCCTTTAAATTATGTCTGTACACAATATATCAAGATCACTTATTTTCATAGTAAAATATGCATAAAAGTTGATTTAATTAGAAATTTGAGATGATTGGTTTTCATAATTTGATTCAATGTCATCTTCCTTTATTGTTTTCAATTAAGAGAAATATGGCTGTGCTACATTTTAAGTTAACATTACATTGTAACTGTTAGTAAGTCTAAATTTTTAGAAGCTAATGTGAATTAGGAATTATGTTTTATTTTCAATTCTGGCAGCTTTTGAAAAGCTGAAGGCATTTTGACAGCTATCATTATATGAAATGAGTTTTGCTTTAATAACAGTTACACATATTGTAATGAAGCACAGATAAATAAGTGTATTACTTAGGTGTGTTGAAAAATATATGGTATTTGTTTGGTTTTGTGAAAAATGATTTCTGCACTGGCATATAGATGCCTCATTGAGTACACATCTTATTATATAACATGCAGCAGAACATTGAATAATGGCATAGAAATTAATAATAAGTGAAAAGATAAAAAAAGTGTAGATAAGTTCATAACATTCACTTTATATTAATGTTTTGAATCTTACTTTGGCCTGTTTAATCTTATTTGTCACAATCAGGAGAAATAAAAATTACCATCTGATAACAAAATTATGATCATATTTTGTTAATATAATATCAATAATTCATTATTTACAATGAAGTTTGGTTTAAAAATATGTGTACATAAAATTAAAATGTAGCACAGCCATATTTCTCTTAATTGAAAACAATAAAGGAAGATGACATTGAATCAAATTATGAAAACCAATCATCTCAAATTTCTAATTAAATCAACTTTTATGCATATTTTACTATGAAAATAAGTGATCTTGATATATTGTGTACAGACATAATGGATGTGAAATTAACATCTTGTCTAGACTTAAATTTAAATATATATTTCAATTGATGCATTATATCGATTAAAATGTTTAATCTGTACAAATTATTTTTTAAATGTGCTGTAAATTCCAAGTTAATATCCATAATTTTATGAGGTAATTTGTCAAGAGCCATTGATACTGAAAATATTCTAAAAGAAGATGTCTGAAATTAAAAATTTATTTTGTATTATAAGTCCCAACCCGGGGGGCAGGAATAGGTACCCTCGTATTTAATGTGGTGTTGATTTTCATCATGCACTTTTATAACTTCATTTATGAGAGTTTGATAATGTAAAACTGATTATAATATGGACAAAAATTTGATACTTTTTTAATTATTAATGCAATTCATTTCTTTTTGTGAGAATTTAATAAAAATAGAAATTTTTGAAATGCTTACTCCCTAAAAAATCAGAAATAATATTGTGTTTGTTGAAGTCGTGCAAAACAAAACCTATAAATACTTGAAGGAAGGTTAGTCATTATTTTAAGCAGTACATAAATGTAAATCTGTTACAATATAAATGTGTAAAAAAAAAATATTCTCATGCTTTTTTGGGGAGGGAGGACTTTACAAAATTACGAGTTTTATATATATATGTATGTATGTATGTTACTGATGGAAACAATTTTATGGATTCTAATTAGTTCACATTTATTATTATAAAAGAGTATTATACTTTAGAATAATGTTATGTATCCAATCTGCACCTGACCTGTGTAAAACTTTTTATTGTTAAATACACTCAAATTTCATAAATCACTATATTTAATACAATGATGTGAATTTTCGAATGAGAAATTGTTCAGATATGTTTCATTATCATGTTTGTGGTAAATTATAGGTCTAAATTATGTCAGGTAAATTTTAAATATCTTCTATTAAATTTTAAAGTTGCTGCAAAAAATAACTGAAATAATTTTAAAACACACCTGCTATTATATAAAATCTTTTGGTTATTTTTGCATTTTTAGTACAGCATTCATGGCAGTGTTTTCATAAATTATGAGGAAAACATTTTATTATACTTATTCTGTTGTACCTTCATTGCAGTAATATGAAATTGCAAGAATTTCTATCATATTCTGTATGTGAAATTAAATCACTGTCACGAGTTAAATTTACAGATATGATTATTTTTAACTAAGCGCTAATTGTAGATTGAAATTAATACTTAGATTTACCTTTTAGGAAATTATAACTATCTTCCTTGAATTTGGATTACCATTCCAACTTTTCATCTTTCTTCATTATAGTTGTATGTATGGGCTTAAGCATTTATCAATTCCTTGTAGTATTAAGTCTTTCTTTGCCTCAAGAAGCATTTACTGAGTTTCCTTGTGTACAAAATCCAAATTGTTTTCTTTGTAAAGCAGTTCCTAATCCATGTTATATATCAAAATCCATTTCTTGTGAGTAAATAGATTCTAATTTTTGTGATGTGATGTTGTTTTCTTTGCTCAATTTCTTATGAGATTAAACATATATCAAATTTTGAGCAAATGGATTTAGGCTTTCTGTGAAATTTTTAATGAACATTTCCATAAAATTTATATATAATGTCTTCTATGCTCTGAGCTGTTTTTGATTCTAGATTCATTGAAATCTTTTCATTGTTATGTACTAGCAATTGAGTGCAAGCTACTAATGTTTCTATAAGCAACTTTTTTATTATTGTTCCTGAATCCCAGTCTGGATGTTCATGTTTCATAGTTATTGCTACTAATGACATGATTGAAGCTAAAGATTTATAATCAAATTTTTCACCTGTTGCACTTGCTTTAACTGCATCCATCAATATTTTCATTCTGTATTCTGGTTTGGAATTAGAAGATAATTCTGGAGATATGTTCCCGAGTTTTCTTTCATTTGAAATCGAATTTATATACTTATTATTATCTTTTGGTTTGTTTGTTGGAAAAATATCTGTCAGTAAATTTGGTATTACTGTATCTTGATTTTTTGTTGTATCATTGTTTTCAGTCTGAAGAAAATATACTTTTCCAGACTTCTTGCTTGTATCAAGTCTTGTCGATTCTGTGCTGATTTTCTGTATAATAGGTAGGAAAGGTATTTGTTTCTTTTTACTTTTCACAAATGAGATTTCATTTTGGGCATTATTTTTTCGGCCTATATGGTAAAATTTGAAATTATTTTCTGCATCGTCATTTGTTACTGTTGGGGCATATATGTCATTCTTGTAGTTGTTTTCTTTTTCAGGAGTATTTCCACTAGTTTTTTTAAAGAATTCTACTGAGTTTGATTTGTTTGTATTATATTCTGAATTTTCGTTTTGTGATTTCAAAGTAATATGCTCATTCCCAGGTTTTGTTAGTCTGTTTCACATCACCATATTGTAATTTCTCCTGATTATGTAATTTTTGAAAACCTTCATGGTTATAGTAGTTGGAATTATAATCATAATTGTAGTAATAAGGGTAATACTTATTGGCCAGTATATGATCCAAATTTTTCTGTTGTAGCATTGAAGAAGATTCCAATTTCTTCACCCATCTTGCACTGTTAATGAAATTGTATAACTGCATATTGTTATATGGGGAAGTTTTGTAGTCATTAAAGTAATAGTAATCGGCAGGTGGGCGGGCGAGATACGGGATTTTCATATTGTATAGAGAATTGGTTTCTGTTAAATCCACTTAATAGTTGCAAAATAAACTGCAGATTTTCTGCCAATCCTAATCCAATATCAGGATAATCTATGTTTTTATACTGATGTAAGTGCTTATCATTTTGTGGTGGAATTTCATAATTTTCATTGTAAAAATCATGAATGAAGTAAATAGAGTTATAATCACTAGCTGCGGCCCAAGGTTCTGGATTTTCAGATTTATCCGAAAATTGCTTTGATTTATCACCACGATGTTGCTGTTGTAGGTTAAGCTGTAGAGTTTGGAGCCATTCTGGTGTGTTATCAGAATGATCTAGGTTATGTTCTTGATTTAAATGCTCTTCGTTGTATGTAGTGTCATAGTTATCAGCATAAAAATTATAACCAGGTTGATATACTTTTGGGTAATTGTAATAATTACTAAAGTAGTAATTCTTAAAGTCGGAATATGAGTAGTCATATTTGGCTCGATAATTATCGAAATAATAATAGTTAGAGTAATCGTAATCAGGATAATTGTACTGGATGTCTTTAAAAATATATGGTTTTTGAAAATTTGTTTGTTCCTGTGTTTGTAAAGAAGGTTGCTGTTTCATCTCGGATGATTCAGTATTAGAGCGATCCGTATCAGTATATGGATGCTGCTCCCTGCCGTTGTATGACATGATCTCTTCACTTTCGAGATAATGAGGGTGATAATAATAATAATCGTAAAATGGATTATAATAATTGAAGTAATAATCATTCAAATAATTGGCCATGGAGTTATATACTTCATCTGATAAGTCATAGCTAAGGTAGTAGTCATTGAAATAATTCAAATAGTTGTTTTTGGGGTAATTGCACTGTTTGTCACTAATAATTTGGAATTTTTGAAAAGTTTTCTGCCCTCCTTGTGTTTGTAAATTAGACTTCAACTCTATGAATTCAGCATTGGAGCGATTTGTATCAGTATACGAATGCTGTTGCCTGCTATTGTATGATATCATTTCTTCGCTTTCGGGATAATGAGGTCGATAATAATAATAATCGTAAAAAGGCTTATAATAATTGAAGTAATAATCATTCAAATAATTGCTCATGGAGTTATATACTTCATCTGATAAGTCATAATTAAGGTAGTAGTCATTGAAATAATTCAAATAATCATTTGGGGGGTAATAGTACTGTTTGTCACTAATAATTTGGAATTTTTGAGAAGTTTTCTGCCCTCCTTGTGTTTGTAAATTAGACTTCAACTCTATTGATTCAGCATTGGAGGGATTTGTATCAGTATACGGATGCTGTTGCCTGCCGTTGTATGATATTTCTTCGCTTTCGGGATAATGAGGGTAATAATACGAGTAATAATAATAATCGTAAAAAGGATTATAATAATTGAAGTAATAATCATTCAAGTAATTGGCCTTGGAGTTATATACTTCATCTGATAAATCATAGTTAAGGTAGTAGTTATTGAAATAATTCAAGTAATCGTTTTTAGGGTAATTGTACTGTTTGTCGTTAATAATTTGGGATTTTTGAACAGTTTTCTTTCCTTGTATTTGTAAATTAGACTTCATCTCTGTTGATTCAATATTGGAGGAATTTGTGATTGGAGGAATTTGATGCACTTGCTCATCATTATTTGAAGCCATTTCGTCACTTTCATGGTAACGGTAATTAGAATAATAGTAATCAGCATAATCAGAATAGTAGTCATCAAGGTAATTAATACTATGTGTTTTTTTAACAATTTGTTGCCCTTTTTGAGTTTGTAAATTTGCCTTCTTCGGCTTTTTCTCTATTGAACTTTCAGTTGATGATTGTTGTAGGTTGTCAGCGAAACCTTGTGTACTGTGCTTTAGGACGGAGGTGTTGTATATTGAAAAGTAATCTGTTCGATTACTATTTTCATTGTTTTCCGTTTGGGATGATAAGGTAGTGAATATTGAAGCTTCCTCATTTTTTATATAATTATAAGCAATCTTTGATTCTTGGATTTTATATTTTTTCTCCTTACTATCTGTGAAAAGTGAATGGTTAAATTTTCTGTTCTTTTCGTCCAGTTGAAATGCTGTTGTTTTTTTTAACATATCATATAAGGATTTATTAATTTTATGCCCTATGTATGTTGCTTGTTGAAATGTTTTGTCTGTAGAAATAAGGTCATATTTATCCAACGTGAATGTTAAACAATTAACAATGTCTTTCAATAAGCCAGAAGCTTTTGATCTTGAGGATACTTTAGAAAGTGTATTCCCACATGCTGTAGCTGATTCATTTGCTATTTCATCCCCGTAATCGCTTTTCAGTGCATTTCGTATCAGAAATACAGCCAGAGATTTTTCTTTCAAATTTGATACGTTTTCATTAAAAATGTTAGATACATAGGGTGATGATTGTAATAGATTAAGTAATGCTGAGTAAAACAGTTTACCAATAGCTGTTCCAAGAGTTTCATAGTTTCGTTGAGAATCTTTATTTCTTGATTCTTTTCCTTTTATTACAATTTGTGTGTATGCTTCATTGTCATGATTGGCATCTTGCTTATCATCAACTGGCCAAGAAATTTGTCGAGTCAAGTTTAGCATAAGTGAATCCGAATCTGACTGCACTGAAATTATATTCGATAAATAATTTAGCATTTCAGATGCTAGATGTTGTGCCTGTTCCCGAGTATTTTCCTGTATTAGTCCTTTTTGGTAGAAAATGCTCGTAATTGCTTTTGACATTTTCCCACCAAATGCTTGTGGAGAATTGAATTTTTTGGAAGTAATTTAATAGAAGCAGCACATGCATATGCAGTTTCTTTAGCGTATTCTGAATATCCGTAGTTAGTGATTGCATGGAATGTCATTTTAAAAGCAAGGTACTGTGCCTGAACTTTAGAAATAGTTCTTACAAAAGTGTTTCTGAATAAATTCGATTTTAATAGAGCAACGAAGAGAGCTTCACTAAATTTTTTCGCTTTTAGTATTTCATCTGTATATATGTAATTCGTTGATACGTTTCCCTTTGAGTTATTTGAAAGTTCATTTGACGAAATTGAAACTTCTGATGTCTGGAAGCTGTCAGATCTCTTCTTGTCCATTCTATCTATAGCAGAAATTATAGACCGTTCTTTGGGAGGATATGTTGAGGTTACATTTCCTGAAGTATCTAAATTGTATTCATTTCCCTGACTCAATGAGTATTGTTCTAGTTGTGAATTTCCTTTTTGTTCCGAAATATAAGCCATGTCTTCAGGTTGATGTTCATTCAGTATCAGATCAATTAAGTCTGTGATATTGTATATTAAATATACTTGTGGATTTCCAGTTACTGCTACATAACAGTTACGTATATCAGTCATTATGTCTTCAATTACTTCTTGCATGTTTTGAGATGAAGATTCTGCTATTGAGTACATTAATCGTTTAATTTCGTCTTCCAGTGCTTTGTTTATCACTTTGTCTAAGCGCTCTTGGATGGGTTCAGATATCGTTATTAGTCTGCTTTTTATATCTTCCAAACCAGATATAGGCATATTTGTAAAAGTAGGGTTTTCAGCGATTTTGTTATACCAGCAGTCGGTAAATTTTTCTCGGATACCTTTATCACACCACATGCATGTCTCTTCGCTATGCACTAATACTATCAACTGGCCGACTAGAAAAATAGTGTTTAAGCACCATTTACGTGACATTGTACATCAAGGAAATAATGCAAATACCTTAAGCAGTTGTTCTGGGATATACATCGTGAACTTTATATGTCAGTGCATCTCTACTTCAGTTATTTTATACATAAAGAGATAAACGTCTTCTAATAGGTTTGCTAAGATAGACCGATTACGTTCTAGAAACAGGTGACCCGTCTTCAAATAAATGATCTAACTTCAAAACCAACGTGATATGGGTCTTAGACGAAGCTTCAGCTGTTGAAACTTTGTGAACAAAGATAAGTCGGGAAAGCGTAGTTTTGATGCTTCGCCCATCATGTAGTTATTATTTAACCCATCCAGATAATTTATAGGCTTATGAGATAAGTATGGAATTCATCGGAACGAGTAATGAATAATTTATGTCCTGGCTCTTTTGAAAAACAGATTTGCTCAGACACGAACTGAACTTCTTTAAAGTAAGTAATATCGACTAACTTAAGTGGTAGACGCTTAGATTTATTGTTGTTTAAATCTTTCGTATCATTCCTAATTTTAGGTAGATTGACTGATAGTTAATATTATAAAAGGATTTGAATTATTACTCTTGTTTTTGTTAAGGAAAAATTATTTTCTCATCGGTGAAAATAGAGCCATTTTTCTTTAACATCTTTTACTGGGGGATTCATTTAGCTATTGATTTTGATATAATTTGCAACTTTAATTGTCTAAAACATTGTTTCAAAGCTATTGCCCACCAGTCTTTATAGTCGTTAGTGATGCTGACTGCCGTACCGACGAGCTTCAGTTCAAATCTTGGAGAAGGATGTTTGTAAGCGTATAGTGTCTATGCTGCAAGGGGGGCACTGAAATAGGCGGCGAGCCGAAAGTCATGTCGAGAGGTTAATGGTAGGTCTCCTCCAAGAGATGTTTTTCGTCAAAATTGGGACCGTACTTCACATTTGATGCGGCGGAACTATACGTGTACCATAAATAGTGCATTTCTGGGGTTCTACCCATTTCTAGCCGCTGTTGTAGTGGCTTATCTCACTTGTCTGTAACATCAGAAGAAGCCCACGAAATTCATCGTGGCAAGGAGTGCAAGATTGCGCCTGTCGTTGGCCAGAGTCCCAATTTTGATGGAAAACACCCTCCGGGGGGAGGGACGGGGCCGAGGATTTCCCACCCGTTTTCCCTTACTACAACTTCTGGAGAGTAGTTTTGGCTTGCCACATATTTAAAGTGCCTTCATGCCGCAGAGACACTATACATTTACAAACATCCATGCTTTCTCCGGAATTCGAACCCCGGCCCTTCGGTACGGCAGTCAGCGTCGCTAACCGCTTTCCCGGTTGAGTGGCATTTCTACCTGTATCTGTCAGAGCTGTTGTACTCGTATCTTAATTACAGCATCATGGTTGAGTAATAACCGAATAAGTGGTTGAAATATGGATTTGTTTTTATTGGTTAGGTTAGTTTATTTGAATATGGCAAACCTCAGAGAGGCTATCTGCTCAAGAAATAGGATGCCTTCTTGGAAGACTTTCTAAGAGACGTTGCACAGAGGAAAAACCAACCATGCAGCAAAGCCTTTTGTATGGTCTCGAACCCAGATCGAATTACAAGTATTCAGCTATCTTAACCACTCGGCCACTGGTGAGGCGATTTAGTGTTATAAGTTTTAATTTATAAAGTATATTGTTTATATTTATATGTAATGTTTGAAAATTTCATTGAGACTTAATTTATTAAAATTTGCAATGTTCTAAGTGATCCATTATTTTATTTCTTTATTTTTAATATTATATGAATTTTAAGTGTTTCAACGCCCCCCGCCCCCTCTTTTTTCCATTTCCTTTTTTAAACGTTGTTTAGATAGCATTTTGCGGAGACATATCAATATATTTTTTCTAATTATTATGTATTAACAGTGCATAAATGCCAGTATTATTAAAACTATACTCATCCTTTCAAAACTACTGTGGTTACTAATAAAAATACTTGGAGATCTTAGTTCGAAGAAGTATATTATATGATTATATAGCATTACATGGGTATGACGACCCGAAATTTCTAAAAAGAACTTTAAGCATATATATATAGTTATATGCTTATGTATATTTTTTTCGTTTATCATATATATATATAAGTAGACACTTTAATATAATGATAAATACATATAAAGATTTCGAAAACTGACGAAATCCGTTCTTCAGAGTTGCTGAGGAAGCGAACATGTTTCAAAGACGAAAGGTAACGTGAAGCTCCAGAGTAGTCAATCGCAATATGATTATGGTGTAAATTTTTTTTTTAAAAAAATGCGGTTGATGGAGTGATTTGTTTATCTTTCAAATTTCTTCTCAAAATGAATTTTTTTCAATATTTAGGTGCATTTTTATAAAATTCTATCCATCAGACAGGCTTTAAATTTTATTTTATAATTACCTGATTGTACTACTGAGTGAATCTGTTTAAATTTAATTTATTTCCAAGAAGAAAGAAGAAATGAATTATTCTGTCACTGATTTTGTTTAAAATTTTCGTGCTTTTTTTAAGAATTCGTAGTTTTTTTTGCATCCAATCATTTTTTTTTTTTTTTTTTCGAATATTTGAGAATATTCTACCTGTATCTTCTCAGAATTAAAGTAAGTTCTTCTAAAAGGCAAATTCAAAGTGATTAACGAAGAAAAGTTCTTACATCTACCTCTGTGTAATCGTGTATCTGGAGTTGTTCATTTCAAGGACCTTTCAAGATTTCTTCCCAAAAATATATATTAAGGATTTTTAAACTTTAAATTTGGCTTTAAAATAGTAACGTTTAGTTTCTATAAATAAAATATTTTAAGTATGCGTGGAGTTTTGCTAGGGAAATAGGGTTATTAGTAAATGAAATTTTCATATTTTACGAAAAAGCTTTTATGTCCCGTAACTGTATTTTTATTACAAATGTGTTTGAATCAAAAATATTCCAAATAAGTATGTAGTAAATCTAAAAATAATACACTAAATGCGTTTTGGAATTTTATGAGCAAGATATTTATTAGTTTATTGGTTATTTTTATTGTCTAATATTTTTTTTTCTTTTATGTTTTTTCAGTATTTTAGAATGCTTTATGCTTGTTGACTATCCATTAATAAGGCGTTCACAATTAATACAGGGTTCGTAAGTCCTTAATAGTCCTTAAAAGACCTTAGTTTTTTTCCCGGGGGGGGAGCGATTTTTGGTCCTTAAAAGTTGGTCTAAAGCTCTTAATTTTACTCATCTGACATTATTGGTTATTTTTATTGTCTAATTATTTCTTAAGAGTGATATTTTGGAGGAATATTTTTCGATGCATTGAAAAATATGCTATTTGATGGGTTATTCCTTTGAATTCTTTGCTACGTCTTCATAATAGGGCACGAGGCCTTGACTGAAACATTAATATTTCAAAATTATTTCCTTTTTTGAGAATGAAGAATTCATAACAATATTACATCAAAAAACATTTTTTCTCTTTTTCAGATATGATTCTATTATTTGGCAATTTATCAACCTTTTAGTGATTTTGAGATCAATTTATGTATAAAATTTTTATACGGATATTTGCAATTTTTCGACATTTTTACAAGCATAATAAAATTTATAAAGATCGTTAAAATAATCATATATTAAAATTTAAAAAAAAATTCCATATTTTAAAATGACAGTACTTTCCATTTTAGCGACTTAAGAATATTTTGATTGTGAAAAATAAATAAGATAATAAATGAAGCTCAGTTACGGAAGCACATTTTAGCAAGAGCAAAAAAGCTACTTTATTTATTTTAAAATTAATTTCATTTTTTCTTTTCTTTATAGTTTTTCATTAGAGTTTTTTTCCCATGTAACTTTTCAGAATATTCAAATGTGTATCATTTTTTCCTTAAAAATTCACTTTACACTTTTCTTTTCTGAATTTTTATTCAAAA